GGGGATGTTTGAGCCCCCCCAGGCCAGCCCTGCTCCCAGAGCACGGGTGGGGACACGAGGTGACATCACGAGGGGACGTGGGTGTCTGTCAGCCCCGATGGGGGGGGTCAGTGGTCCCATCCTGCTCCGGGGTCCTGCTGGGGGGAGAAAAGGAGGATGAGGACGGAACCGTCTCCCTCTGGGGGTGGAGGGACAAGGACGGAGCCTCCCGGGGGCTGGGACACACCTGGGACACACCCGGGACTCACCTGGGACTCTCCAGGTCACACCTTCGCCTGCACCTCGCAGTAGATGGTCCTGGGCCTGTCCTGCTGCTCGGGGGCAGAAAACAGGTCAGACCCTCGGGAAGGGGGGTGGGCGAGGTGGGACAACTCCCCCCAGGGACTTGGCGGCCCTGGGAAGTGCCCTTTGGTGTCCCCTCCCCTGGGAAGCCCCCCTGGAGTTCGGAGCCACTTCCAGGGGAGGAGGAAAGGGGAGCTCTGGGGGCACAGAGGGACCCCCCAGTGCTGCAGGGAAGGGGTGGAAGGTGGAGTTGGACTCAGAATGAATCAAATTTGCCCCTGGATCCCCCTCCAGACTCACCCACTCCCGAGGCTCCGGGGAGTTTCTCCTCTGGATCTCGGAGTACAAGAGCTCCGGTGGGGGATCCTCGCTGGAGAGGGGGGCGAGGGCACCTACGGAGAGAAGAAGAGCAAGAGCAGCGATCCCGGGGGTGCTGGAGGGAGCTGGGATGCATGGAAGGGGGGCACAGAGCCACCCTGGCCCAGGCAGAGCAGGCAGAATCCCAGAATCCCAATTTAGGTTGGAAAAGACCTGTGAGGTCATCGAGTCCACGCTGTGCCGCGTCCCCAGCCCAGAGCACCGAGTGTCCAGCCCTTCCTTGGACATCTCCACCCTTTCCAGGAACAAATCCCTCCTCGTGTCCGACCTGAACCTCTCCTGGCGCAGCCTGAGGCCGTTTCCTCTTGTCCAGTCCCTTGTTCCCTTCCAGTGCCTGACGACCCTTTCCAGAAAGAAAAGAACCGGAGTGAGGGGAAAAGCTCTTTCCCCCTTTCCCAGCTTTATTGATCCCAGCTCTGAGCTGGGTGGTGCCCACCTCCCTCAGACTTCTTCCTCCTCCTCCTCCTCCTCCTCCTCCAGATCCAGGCGATGCCAAGCAGGGCCAAAATGCCCACGGCCACCAGCACCAGGAACACGTGTCTCCCCTGACTGGCCCCCGTGTCTGCAGGGACAAGCCGTGGTGGGTGCCAGGACCCTCCTGGGGGGTGAATCCGGGCGCAGGAGGGGTTTTTACCCTGCTGCTGGCACAGGGTGTCCAGGTGGACGGAGACATTCCGCTCCTGAGCGGGATTCCGGGCCAGGCAGGTGTAGGTGGAGCTGAAGGCAGCAACGGGCAGGGCCAGGCACAGGGTCTGGTTGTCCCCGCAGAGCCGCGCCTGTGGCACCCCCTGAGAGCTCCCGAGCTGCCAGGTGACAGTGGCATCGCTGCCCGGGGCCGCCTGGCACCGCAGGGTGAGGTTGCATTCCTGGGGGGTGAGGGAGAGCTGCCGCCCCTGGATCTGCGGCTCCGGCACCGGATCTGTTGGAGGCGCAAACAAACCTGTCACACACACACGACCAAGAAAAAGGTGGAAGGGCAGAGAGAGGAAAAGGGGAAGCGCCGGGGTCGCGGTTCGTCACGGAGCCGGGACAATCCCCGTGAGACAATCCCCGTGACGGACGCGCGGCGGCCGGAGCGGTTTCCCTTCCCCTTTCCTCGCGCTCACACCTCCGGGCTCCGGGGAGCTGGAAAGCCGCTTCCAGGAACTGCTGCTCTGCAAACACCCACCGTAGACGGAGAGGGTGAAGAGCTGTGTCTCCACGGTCGCTGGCTCCAGTTTAATCCGAGCCTCGTAGACGCTGCTGTCGCCCCTCTCCAGGGTCCCGATCCTCAGCGCCGTCTTGTTGATCTCCACCCGGCCCCTGAACCGATCCTGGGGCTTGGGGCGCTTGAATTTACCATCGTCAAACTCAGCCACGAGGTGCTTGGTACTGTTGACATCTAAAAATGTCCAGTCGACCTCCTTCACCTTCCTGTCGGGGGGCAGATCCAGGGAGAGCAGCGCGGACCCCCCCAGGACACCGTTCACCTGCCGGGTCCGAGTGGCCGCAGTACCTGATGGGGACAGAGATAATCTGGGGGCTGGAGACCCCCAGCAACCCCCCCCCCCAGTCCCTTCCCTCGCCCCCCTCCCTCCCGAGGGACCCGTGGGCAGCTGCCCACCGGGGCCTGAGTCACGGGAGCGCGGCGCCCGCCTGGGATGATTCATTTAATCCCACACCCATCCCCTCTTCCTGGCGGCGTTCCCGGCACGCAGGGACCACCCGCGGGGCTGGGAACACCCCGGGGGCTCGCGGGGCCTCGTCCCGGTGTCCCGGCGTCACCCCGTGTCCCCCCATGTCCCCCCCACACACGCGCGGGTCACCCCCACAGCAAGGACGCCGCGGTCCCCGTCGTCTCTAAGCCCCAATTAAGGCTCAAACCGGGCGGGTTTAAAGTTAAACCTTCAGGAAATGTCCCCGGGGGTCAGGGACCAAGCGTGGGGCTGGATGTCCCCGGGGTCGGGGGTTGCTGGGGGCCCGCGGTGCCTTGTCCCGGTGTCACCCCGTGTCCCCCTACACGTGCACAGGTCACCCCCCAAAAATGGACGAGACGGGGAGCGTTCTCCCCACCGTGTCTAAGCCCAAGTGGGGCTCAAACCGGGCAGCATTAAAGTTTAAACCTCCAGGAAATGTCCCAGGGGTCGGGGACCAGCCAGGGACCACCCTCAGGGCTGGGATCCCCCCGGGGTCTGGGGGCTGCTGGGGGCTCACGATGCCTTGTCCCAGTGTCACCCCACGCGTGCAAAGGTCACCCCCGCCACAGAGGAAACTCTCCCCACCGTGTGGGGCTGAAACCGGGGCAGGTTTCGGGTTTAAACCTTCGGGAAACTTCCCCTATGGTGGGGACAGGGACCCTCCACCCCGGTGCTCTGGGGCAGCTCAGCTACTCAACCCTCTCCCACCCCCCATCCCCGGGGGGGCACCGAGTCGCTCCACTCGGGCTCTGAGACCCCGAAATCCGCCAGGAGCCCCCCGCAGCCTCCCCCGGGGGCAGCGACAGACGGTTCCCACACCGCAGCCCCGTCCTGCCCGCGGGCGGCTCGCTCGGCGCCGGCCTCGCTCTCGCTCTCTCCGCAGCCGCTCGGCTTTGCAGAGACGGAGGCGAGGCGAGGGGAAAAAAGGGGGGGGCTGAGAAACCGCAGCCCTCGCTGCTGCAGCCTCGGGGGGGTCATTGCCCACCTCCCCCTCCCTCTCCCCGGCTCACGGGATGCGCTGCCCCGGCTGTGCGGGAGGAGGGGGGGGCTCGCTCGGGGACCCCCACAGGGGGTGAGAGGGGCCGGGAAGCGCCCGGTGGGGTAAGAGGGGTTAAACACCCACCCCTTGCCCGGTCCCTGCGCCCGGAGTGTTTCCCGGGTACCCCCGAGGGCTGCAGGATGCGATTCCTACCCCCCCTCCCCCGAGGAAGCAGGTACGTGACGGGGATGCTGCAGCCGGGGCAACCTTCGACCTCCCTCTTCCTCCCCAAGGACACACCCCGGGAAACCCGGAGAGGTCCCTCTTTGCCACAATTAATTTCCCCTTTTTTTATTTTTCCCAGCCAAGGGGTCCCAACGGCCCCCCCAGGGGCGACCCAGCCCCGGGCCCTGGGATCCGGCCCCACCAGGCACCACAAAACCTCTCGGGGATGGATTTTTGGCGGCAGGAAATCAGGGAGGGGAGGCTGAGCAACAACCCCTCCACACACACCGAGGGACCACCGGTGTCCCGGGGCATCATTCCTGCTCCTTCCCAGAGGGAAAGGCTGTTCCCCCCCCCGGACACCTCATGGATTTCCCCCCAAAGTTCATTTTGCGGCCGGGACCCGAAGTCGCGCTCTCAGTTCTCTCCCACCGCTCCCAGGTCTCCAAAAAAAACCGGGGGGTTGCTAAAAAATGGGGGTCACGAGCGCTGGAACGTCGGGATCCCCTCCCAGCCCGGCTCTTTTCCCACCCTCCCAGACCCACCTGCCACTGCCAGGAGCAGAACCAGCAGCCGGGAGACGCGGGGCCGGGAGGAGCCGGGCCACGTCCCCATCGCTCCAAAGCCACCCAGTTCAGCTCTGAGCGCTCGGGGGAAGGGAACGAGAATCGAAAACCACCTTGCAGGGGAGTGGCAAAGCGCAGGACACACCGCGGGGACGACGCCGAGCCCCGGGGGTCACTGCCCCAAACCCCCGGCGGGGGTCAGGGGCGATCCGTCCCTCCCGCTGCCCCCGGGGTTCGGAGCCGCTTCCCAAAGCGCTGCTGCCGCCCAGCCTTTGTTTCCCACCTGGAATCAGGTGCGATAAGAGCGAGAACGAACCGGATGCTGCGGGCACTGGGCAAACAACACCAGCTGGTGCCACAAGCCGAGTCCTTGTTCCCGTGGCGGGCACGGGCTGGGCGGCACGAGGGGTTGGCCTGGCTGGAAATCGAGGGGAGGGGGTCCCTGTGGGCTTGGGAATGTCCCAGTTGGGCCTCTTGCACCTGGGATGCTCCCGAACCCCAAACTTGGGGTGTCCCATCTGCCACTCCCAGGATGCTCCTGTGCCCTGCAACCCGAGTGTCCCCCATATCCAGGGTGTCCTGTCCCCCATATCCGGGGTGTCCTGTTCCCCATATCCAGGG